CCCTCCAACAGTATAGGATAGCTTTGCTGGATCTGTGCTTTATATGAAGGTACTCTTTTGTGGCTTGCTTCATTGGTTTAACATTATGCTTGCAAGTAGTATTAGAACATCTATTATTATTTTATGAATATGTCACAATTTATCCATTTCACCGTCAGTGGGCTTTTAATTGCTTCCATATTTTTTTGTTACCATATGTCTTTTGGTAACATTATGCATACATGTTATCCATTTGTGTTATTATAACAGCATATCTGAAGCTGAGTAATTTAAATAAAAAGAGATTTATTTAGCTCACATTTCTGCAGGATATACAAGAAAAATGGTGCCAGTATCTGCTCAGTTTCCGGTAAGGGCCATGTGCTGGGTCAAAACATGGTAGAGGTCCCAGGGTGAAGCAGATATGTGTGAAGAGAGAGGCAAAAACCAAAGAGACATCTGGCTTTGTAACCACCCACTCTCCCAGGAACTAATCTATTTTTGCAAGAACTAAACCAGTCTTGCCAGAGTGAGAACCCACTTACTACCACAAGAATGGCACAGAGGTATCCATGAGGAATCTGCCCCCATGACCCAAATATCTTCCAACACCACCCTCAACCCACCACATTGGGAATCAAATTTCAACATGTATTTTGGTAGAGACAAATCATATCCAAACTATAGCATTGTGCCCCTTACCCCAAAAACGAATGGCTTTCTGACATACAAAAATACAATCATTCCATCCCTGTAGTCCCCAAAGTCCTGACTTGTTCTAGCACCAATTCAAAAGTTTAAAGTACAAAGTCTCATCTGAGACTCAGGCAAGCTCCTTCCAACTATGAGCCTGTGAAACCAAAACAAGTTATCTACCTCCAAATAACAATGGTGGGACAGACATTTGGTAAAAGTTTCCGTTCCAAAAAGGACAATTTGACTAAATAAATACATGACAGACCCCACGCAAGTCTGAAACCCAGCAGGGCACACATTAAATCTTAAAGTTCCAGAAAAATCTTATTTGACTCCATGAACCAGGGCACACTGTGCAAGAAGTGGGCTCCCAAGGCCTCAGGCAGCTCTGCCCCTATGGAACTGCTGGGCATAGGCACATGTCTGCTCTCATGAATTGAAGTTCTATGCCTGCCTCTTCTCCAGGCTGAGGTTGCATGCTGCTGGTGGCAGTAACATTCTGGGGCTCCTCTCCCATCCTGCCCCATGGTTCCATCAATCATTGCCTGCCCCAGTAGGGACTCACCGTGGCAGCTCTGGGCTCACATTTCCATTACGCATTGCCTTATTTAGTAGAGGCTCTTGCCAGTGGCTCCACCCTGTGGCATGTTTCTGACTGGACTTTCAGGAGTTCCTAACTGTCCTGTGAAATATAGGTAGCACATGTAATATCTCCATGGCTCTTTTATTTTGGGCACCTGCAGACTTACCATGTCGAAGCCATGACTTACCATTTGGGCTCACTGGAGTAGCCAGAGACAGATATGAGGCTTTTTGAACCACTGCTAGATGTTTGAAGCAGGCTTCAGAGGCAACACAGGGCACCAGGCTCAGGCTAGTCTTCCAAAATAATTTTGCCATCTCAGGCCTTGAGACTGCAAAGGGAAGGATGTCATGGAAGAGCTCTGAAATGCCTTTGAGACTCTGGTCCCTTTGTTTTAACTATTAGCACCTGGTTCCTTTTTATCCAAGCTAATCCCTAGCAAAGGGTCTCTTGGCTATACCTCTGGTTTCCTCTCCTGAAAACACTAATTCTTTACCACATAGGGCTGCAAGTTTTCCAAAAATTTACACTCTATTTCCCCTTTTCCTAGCAATTAACCTTATGCAATTAGAAGTGGCTACACAGCAGCACAAGACCTTTGATGCTTAGAAATTTCTTCCACCAGATATAGTAGTCCATTACTCTTCCATTCAGTCTCCCATAAAGCCCTAGGCCATGGACATCACGGGCCCAAGTTCTTTGCAACTGTGTAACTGGGTTGAGGTTTGCTCCAGTTTCCAGATAAACACTCCTCATTTCCTTCTGAGAACGCATGAGAATGGCCTCTACTTGTCTATATTTCTAACAGCATTTTGGCCAGAACCACTTAAACAATCTCTAAAAAGTTGCAAACTTTCTCCTGTCTTTTTATTTTCTCCTTAGCTTCACAAGAATTATCCTAATGCACTCTACAGGCTAGTACAGTTTTTTCTAGCCCTTTCTCCAAACTCTTCCAAATTCAGCCCAGTACCCAGTTCCAAGTCACTTCCTTATTTTGAAGTATCTTTATTGCAACACCCCACAAAGAGGCTTATTTTGACTGATTCTGAAGGCTGAGAAGTGTGAGAAACATGGTGCCAGCATCTGTTTGAATTCTGATGCAGAGAAAATGCTAGTTCGAAACATGATGGAGGTCAAAGGGGGAGCAAAACCTGAAGGATGTACTGGCTTTATAACAACCCTCTCTCCCATAAATGAATTAATTCCTCCAAGAGGTAGTTCAGTCTTGCCAGAGTGAGGACTCACTCCCTAACACAAGAATAGCACCAAGCCATTCATGAAGGATCTGCCTCCATGAATCAAACATCTCCCACTAGGCCTGACCTCCCAACAACACCATATTGGTGATCAAATTTCAACATAAGTTTTGGTGGGGACAAATAAACCACATCCAAACTATAATACATCTATTAAGAATTCACTCGAAAATGGACTTGCAAGGGTGCACGATATGGGTATGTCTAGCTTTAGTCACAGTTGCTATACACAGTGTGGTGGATAGATGTGTTTTGTTGCTCACTTGCTTGTTGTGTTTTTGTTCATTGTCTTTTCCCCACTGGAATGTAATTTTATTGAGTGCAAGTGCTTTGTTTGTCTTGGTCAAAGCTCTAAAGTATGAATGAGTGAATGAGGAAGCTGTATCTGAAGGATACAGTGTTCTATCAATTTCATTTCTTGAAATCCTGCCATCTAGTCCACTAATTAAAAGTATTATTCTACAGAATTTTCCTACTTCCCTGAAACTCACTGTTCTTAAATGTAAACTGCAACTCATAGCAAGTTCTACTTCTTTTGTTATGAATTTGTTAAAGGTTGATGAACCCAAGGCACATAAATTTTTAAGTTTTAGATAGAGATTGATGAATGTGATTATGATTATGAGTATGATAATGTTTCTATGATGATAATCCCACATGGTGAATTATAATTTTGATAAAGTCACCCTTTTGATGACTATATAAGTGGACACTAACTATGGATTGGCACATGCTTTCTGTCCTCAATTCCTGGATCAATACGGAACATGAATATTAACTATGACCTAATCCTATTACTTAACATTGATGATCTCATGAGATATTTGAAAAGCATTTTACTGCCTTCCTAACCCATCCTCCTCCTGTATGTTTCTCCAGTGTTTTAGAACCCCCATGCCCTCAGACATACAGTGTTCTCATGATGTCTTTTCTGGGCAATGTCCTTTGCTTCCATCTATTGATTTTAAGTATCTGATTAATAGTTTTCACCAATGTGTTGTAAACAAACAAAAGATAACATTATACTTTTACTGAAAGTAATAAGCACCCAAGTGTAGTGAATACATTACTACCTGTTTAAGAAGACTATGTTCAATGACTCTTTCTACCAGCTTGCAAATGGAAACACATTTTAGTGCTTATGGAACTCTCTTGCATTTATTTAGAATACATGTGAACATGGCAGGAGAAAGAGAACATATAAGAAAAAAAGAGGAGAGAAAGAAAAGAGATCAAAAGGACATGTTTTTAACATTAATTAATTTTTTTCTGCCAAGATGAATGCTCTTTGAAGAAGAAAGCACACTGACACTGTTGTTCCTCTGCTTCCATACCACACAACAATCAACACAGAAGATGTCTGGAACCAAATGAGTGGGAGATTTTTGATACACACAAAGCAAACAATCATTTCTGCAGGGGACACCAATTGGATGTCCTCCAAATCCATTGCATTCTGCCAGTATCTACAGTCAAATGCTCTACCTCAAGCTGTGCTCCCATGACCATCTCCCATACTCTGTCTGGAGATAGTGTCAGATCCCACAGAGTGAGGGCTCAATCCCATAATACTGCCTTCCATTTCCATTGCCAATCACAAGCCCCAAATTGTCCTGTGCTTTTGACCAACTGATTATAAATTGGGGATCCCACAGCCCTTCCTTGGGTTCAGTTAATCAGCTATAGAGGCTCACAGAACTCAAGGAAACACTTACTTATGTTTACCATTTATTATAAATGAAATTATGAAGGATACATATAAACAGCCAGATGAAAGGACACATAGGGTGAGGTCTGGAAGAGCACAAGAGCATTTGTCCCTGTGGAGTTGTGGCATGCCACCCTCCAGGCATGTGGGTGGGTTCTTATTCACCCCACTGTATGCCTTCATGAGTTTAGCTGTCCAGAAGTTTTCCATAGCTTCTCCTTTTATGGAGACTTTATTGAATAGTCATGATTGAAACATGGACAAAGGTATAGAAATATGATTGAACAGAGAGAGTATGACCTAATATCTATAGACTGAGTGGGGACAGCCATGAAGCCCTGTCTGATCAGATTCTTCTTGGCCTCTCTGTACAGCACTCCCTCCTCCAGGGTATGAGAAGAGGACCTCTTTTGAAACAGAGGTCTTATGACCTACCATCAGACAAGGTAGTCAGATAGCTTCTTTATGGCCAAAAGTGGGGAAAGATTGGATTATATTTTTAGTTTCTAAGGCTTGCTTTGGGGAGAAAAAGAAGCAAGTGAAAAGAGGGAAGGAGAAGGTCACAGAGAGAGATTCAGTTTTTTGAGAACTGATTCTGAAGCCTAAAGCACCACAACATTGTAACATGACTATGGAGTTATGAACCAGAAACCCTAGACCAAAACCCAATATTGTTATAACATCACTCCCTCCCTTTTTGCTTCATCTTCCAATGAAAGCATAGTCACAGTGACCACAGAACCTCCCATTTGCCATATGCATGGGAAGGAGTTGACTGTCAAAAGACACTTCCTGACACCCTTTGAGGACCCCTGAACCTCCCTAGTGCCCTCTTCAGAGCTCCAGTGACATCCTTGTTTCTAAGGCTGTAGATAAGGGGGTTCAGCATGGGCGTGAGAATGGTGTAAAACACAGAGAGAACTTTGTCCTGGACTGGTGTGTGGTAAGAGTGTGGCAGCATGTAGGTGTACATGGCAGCCCCGTAGAACAAAGACACCACAGTCACGTGGGAGGAACAAGTGGTGAAGGCCTTCTTCCTGCCTTCCACGGAGCTCATGCGGTGAACTGTGGTCAGGATTCGGGCATAGGAAGCGAGGACGACAGAGAAAGGAATCAGCAGCATCAAAACACAGCACACATACATCACTGTCTCGTAGAGGGCTGTGTCTGCACATGCCAGCTTCAGGACTGCCGGTGCCTCACAGAAGAAATGGTTAATCTCCCGGGAATTGCAGAAGGGAAAGCTCATGGTGATGGGGGTTAGGAGAAAGCCATCCAAAGAGCCCCCAAACCAAGAACCTGCTATAATCATCCAACAGACCCGGCGGCTCATGAGGATGGGGTATCTCAGAGGGTTACAGATGGCCACATAGCGGTCATAGGCCATGAGGCCCAGAAGGAAGAATTCAGCTCCCACGAGGGTAAGGTAGAGGAAGTGTTGAGTTGTGCACCCGACAAAGGAAATGGTCTTTTGATCCAGCAGATAATCAACCAGCATCTTAGGCACAATGGTGGAAATGTACATCATGTCAATCAAGGAAAGGTGACTGAGGAGGAAGTACATGGGAGTATGAAGGTGCAAATCTGTTTGGATCAGGAAGATCATAACCCCATTGGCCAACAGTGCAGTGAAGAAGATGACAGAGATGATGGCAAAAAGTAGCATGAGCTACTATGTCCTGCCAGAATATACATAATTTTCATAAAAATTATCCAAATGTCTAACTTTACCCTAAACTGTATTCCAACAAAAGATGTATATATGTATATACATTCATAATCTCCTCCCATAGATTTATGTATATATATGTAAAATTATTCTGTGGTCCTAGCTTTTTCTAAGGCCAGCTAGCCCTGTAGTCCTAGTAATACAAAAGGAAATTCTAAAGTGCACTCCATTTTGCAGCCAACTGGTCTTACTTTTCCTATCTGCAAACAAAAGATCTAATTTATCAGAGAGCAAGATCTCCTCAAAGTAAATTATGACTCTAAGTAAAATGTTTTGTTAAATTTATTGTCTGCTCTCTCACTAGAGTGAGCACAGTAAGTACCTATACTTGCTGAATTTCTCCTGGGCATAGATCATACAGCTTTGCTACGGTTTAGCACACATAAAAATAATCAGAAAATGTTTCGAATGATTATCTGACGTTATAGAGGCATTTGCTTCTGAAATGATAAGACGACATACAGTAAAACAAAATTTAGAATTAAATGAATTGAGTTCTTCCTCTGGTCATGGCATTAATTAATTCTGTGACCTTGGATTCTCTTCCCAAACACTCTGAGTCTCAGTATCTGTTTATATTAATGGAGATAATAAAATATTCAGGGTTACTTTAAGAATCAAGAAATTTATAGTTACTGGCAAAAATACTTTATATAATACAAAGTAAAATGGCAGTGTTATAAAATACATGCAAATTATTTCAAAACTGTTGGTGAATGGGTACGAATTCTCAATCTCTCATTTAAGCAATGTACATATTCAACTAAAATTTATGAATTTGAATTGAAAATACCTCCTGATCTTCAGAAAAGGTCTGTAAACACAGGCACTCCCAGTGAAGTTACATCAGCAGCTAAATTCTGTCCTTTCCCCCAGAGATCCTTTGACTTGAAAGAAATGTTATTTACTAGAACTTTACTAGAAAAAGGGGTGCATTGCAGTTAAGCTTGCAGAAAAGCTAAATTTCTTTGAAGAGCAGAAGTATGCCTGGCCTGCAAATTTTGAGAAAATTAGAAAAAAAAGTTAATGGATAAAATAGACATGATTTTATTGGATAAAATTGTCTTTTAAGCTTACTTAAACTATTTTTTGTGGCACAATACCATACACCAAGAGATAAATCAATGCATTTATTTTATCATGGCATTTGTAAATATTCTCCACTATTTTATAAGGGGTACGTTTGGTTGGGTAGGGATTGCTGCAAAGTTTTTCCTCCCGCGTCACTATAATTTGAAGTTAGGACACAAGGCTTGCCAGGACTGTGATGGTCTCCAAGCCTGTCCTTTAAATCAAGTGACAAGATAATGTTGAAGGTAAGTTGCAGCCTTTGCCTGCTTCCATATGACCACTGGTGACGTTTCTGCCAAAGAAAACCGCATGCTCCATGCTCCTTCAATGCAACAGCCTTGTGGTTAGGAAGCTCTGGGTTAACTTAGATTAAAGCTGCTTCATGAAATTTCCTTCCCTGCCCTCTGAATCTGCTTGGAGCCAGTTTTCTCTCCTTGCAACGTTCAGCATTTCATAATGTGAATATAACTACAAGGTTTTCCTTCCTCCTTCTCTACACTAGTTATGCTTCTTCATGTATGATTTTTTCCAAAATACCTCAGTTTTTGCAATGCTCATTTTGGAATGTAACACCTCAATTTTAACAGATGATTCTAGGTGCAGATTTTCCTGTACAGAATACCCTGGCAATATTATTTTTCTGTTGTTAGTCCAGACACATCACACTATTGACTCATTATATATATACATTAAAACTTACAGTTATATTTTCATACAAGAGGTTCTCAAGACAGGTCAATACAGTGTTGTGCAATTTTTGAAACTGAGTACAAAAGTATATGTTCTTAAGTTTTCTCTGTGTTCCTAAATTCTATTTAGTGTCTCGAAAAGTTGGAATCATTAAGAAAGAACTCATGTTGAAATAATGATCATATGATTATTAGATAATAAAGTGCTATCGTACTCTGACAATTTTAGAGTAACTTAGAACCACATTTCTCAACTCACATACCCCTCCTGACAAGACCCGTAAAGAGACTACACATTAGAATAAACCCCTCGACAAGCAAGACCTGTTAGTTCTGATGAGAGTTTATTTTATGCATTGGTGTCATGGACACTAAAAAAGTGCTTGTGAATTACTGACTAAGGGGATCTGAGAAATCCAGGTGTCTGCGCATTCTTTGACATCATTGTGGAAGAAACAGTTTTCAAAATGCTTGCACCTTTGACAGTAAGGCAATGTGTCTGTGTTTGAAATTAGAAGCCTGTAGCAATCTGCCTTATGTCAGCTGTGTCTCTGAGGAAAGCATTTTTTTTTTTGAGAGGGAGTCTTGCTCTGTCACCTAGGATGGAGTGCAGTGGTGTGATCTCGGCTCACTGCAACATTTGCCTCCCAGGTTAAAGCGAGTCTCCTGCCTCAGCCTTCCGAGTAGCTGTGATTACAGGCTCCTGCCACCATGCCCTGCTAATTTTTTGTATTTTCAGTAGAGAGGGGGTTTCACCATGTTGGCCAGGCTGGTCTCAAATTCCTGACCTTGTCATCCGCCCACCTCAGCCTCCCAAAGCACTGAGATTACAGGCGTGAGCCACTGCACCTGCACTAAGCAAGTATCTTTAATTCTCCAATCGTCAGTGTTCTTATCTGTGAAATGAGGGCAGGAATACAAAGACAATGCACTATTCAGAGAATCAGGAAGCCAGGTTCATAGTCTGTACTTTAGAAAGTAAGAGTAGGTACAGGTTTCTCCTTCAGGGCTTCTGTGCCTTTCAAATAGTATTGACCTTATCCTATCTAATTCATAAGACTAAGGTTTAGTTAAATTATTAAAAAAAAAACCCAGCAGCAAATGTTTAAGAAACATTCTTTGCACTGTTACACTCAATAGCACCCATATACCTGAGATTTACAACACTTACGCTGTATAATTCCCACAGATAATCAAACAGGCAATCTTCTTCTCAGTGCCCTTGCATTTGGCATGGGGGAATGGGACAGTCATTCCTCATCAAACTTGTACCTGAGATTTCCAGCCCAGGGGTTGCAGACAACTTTGCCTTAATTTTCTTAGAATCAGTTTATGTAAATCTTGTTTGTCATATAAAGAATGCAAATTCAGTCAGACCACAGTGAAATGTTCTGGAAACCCAAAATTTGCATATACACAAAATATTTAAAGTGCTACTATGAGAAGGGGCTAGTCTAGGTGCTCATTAGCATTTGGCTTCTCACATGTGAAATTCCTCCGTAATTCCAAAAGACCTGAGTTTTCATTAACGAAAGAGGAAGAGTGGAACAAACGAAGAGTGAGTCTAAGTAGAGCAGAAGCTCCTAGATGATCCGCTATACTGCCTAATTTTACTCAAGGATTTTGCATCATTTAGACAAAGCCTTAAATATTAAATCCAATTATTTAATTTTCAAAAAGCTTTATAAAGTAATGTATTAATTTTTTCTGTATGATTTCACATTTCTCATGTCTTTTCTCATCCAAGCCATCTGAATGCCATCTATTCAAAACAGCATACTACATGTCAACTAAGTAGGCATCAAGGAATATAATATACATAATTTTCATTTTTTTAATAATTATTATTTTATTGAGTTGGAGTCTCACTCTGTCACCCAGGCTGGAGTGCAATAGGATGATCTTGGCTCACTGCAACCTCTGCCTCCTGGGTTCAAGCAATTCTCCTGCCTCAGCCTCCCAAGTAGCTGGGACTACAAGCACATACCACCACGTCCAGCTAATTTTTGTATTTTAGTAGAGCTGGTGTTTTGCCATGTTGGCCAGGCTGATCTCACACCCCTGACCTCAGGTGATCCACATGCCTCAGCCTCCCACAGTGCCGGGATTATTGGCATGAGCTACTATGTCCTGCCAGAATATACATAATTTTCATAAAAATTATCCAAATGTCTAACTTTACCCTAAACTGTATTCCAACAAAAGATGATTATCTGTCACTTACAGAGAGCTCAATTTCTCAGGGTAGTCACTAAGAGTAGTAGATAGAAAAGGTTATGTATAATTTAGTAAATCAAAAACTTACCGGTAAATTACAAGAACTTTATGTAACTAAAAGCGACAGAGAACAAACAGAGCCTTTTTAGAAGGTCCAAGGTGAACTGTTGCTAGAAAGAAAAATGATTAGATTTAGGAGACTTAATTTCTTGTCTAGCTTATACCAAGCAGAAAACACACAAAGCAATTCATTGTCATGGGTATCCACAACAGAAAAACCTTCAACGTCAAGACCATCTGGATGTCAGTGTGCTGTCAGCATGTTACCCCTGAGATCCAGTCCACACAGATTTCTAATTTGGATTTATGAACTTGGCATGCCTGAAGGTATCCTTAGCAGCTGATGATGGAGTTAGGACAAAGAGAGACATGCAACAAATTTACTAGGAGCTTTTTTTTTTGTCATATAACTCTGCAGAAGGAAGTATTATTAAAACAAACAAATAAAAAATGCCATCTTAGAAATCCTTGAAACAATTTACATTGCCAAGACAAATTGCATAAATTCACCAGCCTTCTAGAAACATGTAATAATGTCTGTTTCTTATCTTTACAGGGAAATATTTAGCAACTAAAGAGGGATAACGGCTCTGAAAAACTAAACATGCAAGAAGAAAGCAGCAGAGCAGTGAAGAACACTGAATTAATCTGGGTGTTCTGCTTCTGAGATCCCTGGTGTGATGAGGGAGTGCCCAGATTGAGAAGAGGCATGAGTTTACATAGTTAGGACCTGGAATGAAGTGGTCCAGGAAAGAGCAAGTTTCTTCTTTTTGGATCTCGGGAGACTTTAATGAGACAGACTTGTTACATCTAATGAGAAGTGTATTGAGGAGGTGGAAAAGAGTAAACATTTAGGTCACATGGGCTTTGAGGAAGTGTTTCTACTCCTGTGCTTCACAG